GGACTTCAAAGATGACCCGTTCTGCACCAAAGGAGGGTGCAGTTAAGTAGCAAGGCCATCTGTCAGTTTTTATAAAAGGCCAGCAACTCTCTGGGGACCTTGGAGATCCTCCATAGTTTTTTATAAAAGGCCAGCGACTCTCTGGGGACTTCAGAGAGCCACAATTTGTGAGTAAACAAAGGGTCATTTGAGGATTATCTGATGAAGATGAAAGTAAAAGTCACTGACTGTGTCAATGGCCCAGATGATGGAGCTGTCTCCTGGTGCTGTATGGAGTTCTTCCGGTATAGATGCCATTTGGGACATCACTGAGCTGGGCAAGAAGAGGGAGGTGCCGTCAAGGCAGACAGGCATTTCTGAAGGAACCAGATGTTTACTTTCCATGTGCACTAGAGCACAATATCAATATTTGTATTTCAAGTGCTTGTTTGGGAGCACATATTCATTCCCCCTTCCGTTAAGGCAGGTGACCATGGAGTGCCAGGGCTTATCAAAACCTCACAAAACAATGGGAGGAACCGTTGCGCTTTCATGTCTGATTATTGCATCTGTGAACGCAGGGCTCTGATCTCCCAGGGAGTTTCTAAGCCAAAGGTGTGTCATGTTGGAGCTGGCTAACTGACCAGAACTGTAGTTCCACACTTTCTATGTGAATCATGAATTAGTATGACAGACCAGTTTATTGCTTTGGGGTGGGATGGGAATGGAGCCATATTGCAGTGCTCTGGTACCTAATTTAATTTTGTGGTTACACAGAAGCAGAACTGCAAGATGTCATTTTGCCTGATTCTGCAGTTTAGAGGAAGGAACCGTGATTCAGAAGGCAGCGGCTTGCTCATGGCTTTTGGAAAACAAACCAAGCAAGAAACATGATCACTGCTTAGGTGATTTGCTGCTTGTTTTGATTGTATTCTAGGGAGGCCCCACCGTGTGCCTCAATCCTAGCTGAGACTGTGTGCTTTGATTTCATCATCTCAGACCGTTCTCCAGCGATGATTCTGTCAGGCCTTAAGTCCTTTCCAGGCCTTACCTCTTGACTCTTCAGTTAGCCTCGTCAGACGATACAGAATCCTGTTTTTAAACAATTCTTTATATCTTTTACTTTTTAAAAAGACCTAGATTAAATAAGGGGTTATTAAGGCTTTGCTCTTGAGTATGTATGGCTTCCAAGAAATCAGAAGACATCTAATGTGATACTTCCTTATTGAGTCAATTAGACCATTTCTAACTAAAGGTATTTGACACTGTACACATACTCACTTTTTTTGTTTGTTTGTTTTTTTGAGACAGGGTTTCTCTGTGGCTTTGGAGGCTGTCCTGGAACTAGCTCTTGTAGACCAGGCTGGTCTCGAACTCACAGAGGTCTGCCTGCCTCTGCCTCCCGAGTGCTGGGATTAAAGGCGTGCACCACCACTGCCCGGTGCTCACATACTCACTTCTATCATTTGAAATGATCTTAATTACTGTTTCAGTTGTTTGAAAGCTGCAAGAAGGCACTGCAAGTTGACAGAGGGACTTCGAGGAATGAAAAGTCTGGAGAGGAAGTAGAAAATTGTGAAATGCCATTGTAGAGAGGCTGGTAAAGAGCTCTAGTGGCCCTGCTGGGAGATCTCAGGACCCACGTGAGGCAGGACAGCTGCAGGCTGGAAGGGCATCTTTCTGCAGGTGGCTCTCCCTTCATGACCACTCTGCCCTTCTAATTGCTTGTTCGGTGCCCTTTCCTTCTCTTTCATTACTTACGATATTTTTATTTTTAGAGCGCACAGACCGGTTGTTCATCTATGTGGGTCTGATGTGACCTTTCAATACAGAATACATGTATACTGACCTGACTAGGAACACTGGTATTTATCACCACGTACATTTTACTTAACCCTTCTGGGCCTTGGTTATTTGTGTCAGGAACATTTAAACTATTTGCTGTTTTCAAACTCAGCTGATCCCTGTCAGTCAGTGTTACCTGTATATGTTACAGAACATTAGAAGGTATTTGCCATTTGTATTTGTGCCATTAATCGTCCTTTCTGTAAACCTCCACTTCGAGAAATTTAATTTGGTGTTACAAGCAAGCAGCAGAGTTAGCAAAGGAAAACACAGTTTCTAGAAGTTCAAATAAGGTACCCTTACAGAATAATCAGTGTATTATGAGACTTAGGTCATTTCAACCAGATGGTTATATTTATCTTAGAGGGTCCTATGAAAAGCTCCTGTGTAGTCACGGTACAAAGACTTGGAAAACATCCACAACATTGCAACTAAGTTTATATAGTTTTTTGAGTGCTAGTCTATAATAAGAAAACACACTAAAAACCAAACCAAACCAAAAAAATCCAAGAATAGTGTTCCCATATTAACAAAAGCTGTTTTTAATTAATATGCAACTATCCAAAAACTTAGATTTTCAAAATCACATTTCTTTATTCTCTAGTGCAAGTTATACATAACACTTCCCTTTCCTATCTGCACATGATACAACTATTGAGAAAACAGAACCATCTGCTTGGGGAGAGAAATTCTTTGTAGACTAAGGGGATGATGCTCAGACGGCTTAAAGAACTTCAGCTGGTTCAGAGCCATACGGAGCTCTTGTTTTCAGTTGGGATTAGGCCTAAATCTGGGCCATTTGTTTTCTTACATTCTTTCCCAATGATAGATGGCAGTTGTGTTTGGAGACAGTTCATACTAGAAGTGCTTAGCATTTGGGATTTGTTAGGCATATTTCTTGAGTTTTAGTTGCACTTTTGATAGACCAATGATCTAAGTAAGTTAATCTCTGGGCCCAGAGCACCCTTCCACCCATCAAATTAAGGTGATAGCTAATACACTGAATTGTAAGTAAATAAGAATGTGTGTGAAATGCATACCACATAGGCAGGTGGTTAGCCTGTGCCCATCCACAAAGGTTCAGGTTCAGTTTATATACTTGTAGGAATGAAAAGCTGTACCTCTCATCACAGACACGATGGTGACTGAGGCCCATGCCTTGGTAAAGATGAGCAGAGGAAGGAGTGGGTCTTTTATGTGATAGTTAATGCAGGTTCATCAGTTATAATAAATGTTAGCACTGTCAGTATGTTGATATTTCAGAACTTAAATGTAGGGGAGGGAACTTGAGAAACTTCTTATTACTTTTTTCCTCAGTTTTGCGTTGAACTTAAAACTGATGAAAAGCTTGGGGCTGGAGAGGTGGCTCAGTGGTTAAGAGTGCGTACCCTTCTCAGAGCATCGCAGTTCATCTCTCAGCACACTTCAGGCTGCTCGCCTCATGTAACTCCAGCGCCGAAGTCAGATTCCCCTCTAGTGGCCTCTGTGGGTACTGCACTTGGAGCTCCCTGCATCCCAATAGACAACACAGAACAACTTGTTCTTCCAAAGAGACATAATATTTATGGAACAGGTTATGAAACAATGTTCAATGACACAACAATGCCGTTTAGTGTGGCATTTCAAACGTCATGAAGACAAATGAACCAGTAGTTCTACGAGGTTACGTATGCAAGAAAAATGACCACCACAGAATGAAGTGCTGATATAAACTCTACATGAATGCTGTCATGTTTGAAAATGCAGTTCATGTTCCCCACAGCTCACCTGTTGGCCTGGTCTCCAGCCGGGGACACGTTTAGGTGGTAGGATCACAGTTTTGGTGTCGGGGTCAGGCGCCTGAGACTTGCTTCCTCCATGGACTAACGCACCAGTTAACAGCTGAATGGCGGGTTAGAGATGAGGCCCAGTGGAAGGGAAGTCACTTGAGGTGTCTTTGGAGAGTGGGTCTTGTCCCACACCCCGTTTTCTCTTTCTGCAGTCACTATACACAAGGAGCTTGATGCCACACTCTCCTCAGGCAAGCTCTTCTACATCACCACAGCTCTGGGGCAAGGGACCCAGCTGACCACAGACACAGTGAGCCTAACGAAGTCTTTGTCCTTTTAGCCACGCTACAGTAAAGAGCATTAGGCAGGAGACCGGCTGCACGAGCTCCCATTGCATGGCTCCACTGAAATGAACTGCTCACAAGTGGCAGACTCGTCAAGTCACACTGTTGCTACCTAGTGGCCAGGGTGTGGAGTTTGGAGGAAGTGGTGGGGTTGTTTTCAGGGGGTAGGTGGGGTCGTTCAAAAGTTGGATTCCATGATGATATACAATTCTATAAACATACCAGACCTCACTGAGTTGTTTACTTTACATACCAATATAGTTGGTATTTAGTACTGATTAAAATATAGGCTATTTGGAGTTCCAGGACAGTCTCCAATACAGAGAAACCCGGTCTCAACCCCCCCCCCCCCCAAATATATATGCTATTTGTGCTAAAACAACAGTCAACTGCTGGGTGGCTTATACTTTGTCTTGAGGCTGGGCAAAACAACCAAAAAGAGTCATGTCTGGAGTGTGAATTAGTCATCATATCTGGCAAATAAATGAAATCTCGGTGTCAAATTTAAAAGTAACAGCAGCAAAGCCTCTTGACTTTTGAAATCTCCTATCTTCAAACTAAAGATGGTACACACATAAATTACAGTCGGCTGCATCACATCATTTAGAAATAATACCTACCAGAAAAAGGGTGCCTCTGTGATCAATAGAATCCTGGTGATATGTGCACAAACCCTATAACTGACACAAATGGAGCTTTACACTATGACTTTCTTAAAAAGCCTGGCCAGAAGCTGGAGAGTTGGCTCAGTGATTTAGATCACTTCTTTTTCTTGCAGAGGACCAGAGTTTGAGTCCTAGTGTCCTCATGATAGCCCATTATCATGGGTAACTAGTTCCAGGTACCTGATGCCCTGATCTGATTGGTGGGCACCAGGAAATCAGTGGTATACATATATACACGTGAGGAAAACATTCATACACATAAAGTTAAAGTCTAAACAAACACAAATAAACTTGACCAGACTCAGGTAGAGGCCTATAAACCATTGACATGGGAGGCTGAGAGGAATCTCAAGCTCAATGTTAGTCTAAGCAACTTATCAAGACTCTAAACAAGCAAATAAACAAAAGACTTTTAATATTTTGTCTTAATAAAATAAAGTATTTTGAGAGCTAACAGACAGTAAAAAATTAAGTACAATAGTGACTTGCTGTGCCTCGGTCGGCAGCTAGAGTCTCGGCCTACAGAGCAGTTAGCCAGCTGTAGTCTACTTTTCGGAACTTTCTCAGCTCTTTCTCTTCAGATTTTGACAGCTGATGTATAACATCTTCCCCCAAATCCGTGTTATTTGTTTCCTGGGCTTTTTCAGTGAAATCCTTTTCTTCATCTGAACTGTCACTTTCTTCTTTGTCTTCCATATCTACATCATCAGGAATTTCTTCAGAACTTTGACAATAACAGAATAAAATGTAAACAACATTAGATACTTGCAAATAATAACTCTAAGACACCCACCCTGAAATACACATAGAAAGGCAATGCAACTGAAGACATTGTGATGAGTGTCCTTATGGAGCATGGGTCATAAAGGAGCAACTGAAGACATTGTGATGAGTGTCCTTATGGAGCATGGGTCATAAAGGAGCAAGTGAACTTATAAAACGTGTGATTCTCAGCACATCTTAAAGCACACATAACTTATCTCTCTCAGTTTGTCACAAGTATTGTATTTAATAACCTTAAGTTATTAGCTACATTTCGAAGCTAAGATGCAAATACAGTGGACGACATTTCCCAAACAGTACAGAAGACGGACCATTTGGAGCTCTTACCTTTTAGTCTCTTTAGACAGCAGCAGTGAGTTTATAAACAGGGAGCACAGGAAAGAAGCCGATGGCAGTACGTGGGCTGGGGTGTGAAGCAGCTAGAGGCACACGGAAAGACAGCCTTTGTTAAAAGATGTCCTCCACAGAGGGTTTACCCTACTTCCTAATACCCTTTATTCTAAGTGCCAAGGCAAACACAAAAGCCGTTCCTGGAGAAAAACCAAACCAAAGGAAACAGTCCTTCCAGCTTCCCACACCTGTGCAACCCTCTCCTCACCCAGGTCCAGGAGAGAATCACCCACTAAGGTACTGTGCTTATCTGGATGGAGGACGAGTCAAATGCTACTTGAGACAGATGCTTGCTGTATCCACTGCCTTCCACGGCCTTGTGTACTGATCACTCACCTCATTAATTGCAGGTATGTTCTCTGTTAAGGGGAGTTGTATCAGTTCATTCTCTGATGTTCCATTCAACCTTGCCTCCTGCTGTTGCCTGTGTTTTCCCAATATCAAAGAAAATGGGGTTGTCGGCAGACTTTCCTCTGCCAGCAGCTATATGGACGGAAGAGAAAAGGAAATTATTTCAATAAAAAGGTGGACTTCTTTGACTTAAAATCTAAGTGCCACAGAATTGTAAATGGCTCTGGTGAAAGCTTAGAAATTACTCCCAGTTAATTTCATGCACAGACAAAGCAGCAGACGTCTGGTGTCCACCTTTCTAGATGGGAAAGCTCACCTCAGATGCTGATGCAATAACCATGGTTCCTTGCTGGGACTTACATAGACCACAGTGAGCATACGCTCACAAAGGCAGAGAATGGGGAAAGGCCCCTGGTGACATGCTAGGATGAAATCTTAGTAGAGCCAAGAAAGCAATCTTCTAAGACAGCTGTGATAAGAGCAAGGTGTGTGCTGATAAATATGAGAAAACTGCCCACAAACAGTCAAAAAGTGACCTAGAGTGAAAGGCTGGAGACTAAGCAGAATTTGTTCTTTATTAAAAATAAAGCCCAGGGCAGCTGAGGGTGTGTGGGAGAAAGAGCAAGCACCTCCTGAGTCAGCCCCTTATTCTAACTCTCCAGGGTGCACCGCAGTACACGCAGGGGAAGGATGGATGGATGTACTCAGTAAGGCCTCTCTTGACTTCCCGTTTAAAACTGAAAGACGTGCCTCACTCCCCTGTCCCTCCATCTCCAACCCTGCTGCACGTCTTTGCATTTTCTAAAGCACTCCACATTTTACTGACTTATCATTTGCTGTTTAGCATCTGTATCTTCCTGGTAACTATAAATACCACATCTTTACAGACAAGGCTGTTTTGCTAACATATCCCAATTGTCTACAACAATAGTCCCTGGTATACAGATGGCAATCAACAAACATTTGTGAATAAATTTAATGAGTTTTCAGAAGAAATTAAGCAAGCTATGGATACACAATCAAAGATAAAGAATGGCACTGGGTATTTAGCAACATCAGAAGCTAAATGATCTTAGGCTACCACCTTCAAAGTGCTAAGAAAATAGTGTTTGGTTTACATTTATACACAACTAATCAATCAAGTCAGAGAGAATAAAGAATACTGCCCAAACTATAAGATCCTAAATTTGAACAAGGTCCTAGGCCACACATCCATCAATAGTTTTCACCAAAGCAAAGAAGTGACCAAAAAAGAGTAGTCCTATGGGATCTACTGTCCTAGAGGTGACCAAAGAAAGAGCAGTTCTACGGATCTACTGTCCTAGAGGTGACATGGATCCCAAGAATGAGGAACCCAGGCCTAGGATGACCAGTGTGTAGTAGACTCTGAGAGCAACTAGTCCAGACTGAAGTAAGGTATAGGTTTGTGAGAACAGTTTTTCATGATTTGAAAGAATACCCATGTGTCTGAAAATTCTGAAAGAATTAAGTTAATTTGCATAAATGCTAGAGTAGAATTAAATAAGAACAACAAAACAAAAAATAAGCAAATTTAAAAAAGGAGGCAATCATTAACTGGGGAGGAGTTGATCACAGAAAGACAGTGAGTGTGTGGACTGCCTGGCTATGGATACACTTATACGTGAAGACAATACAAACTTTCAGCTTCAAGAACTTCAATAAATTCAACAGATAGTTAAATCCATAATCCATAATCTAAACACATCCTTAGAGATATGAAGCCCAAGCAAGGAAACAAAACCTTAACCACATAATAAGTTTCTGTGATGATGGTGATATAGAAGTCCCTTCTTGTTCATGGGGTGTTGGTTGTTTTGAGAAAACAGTGCAGACAACAAAATCCAAGATCCTTAGTGGACTAGGTTGGATGTCATTTCAATATAAGCTCGGCACATCACATACACTCATCTACTCTGGCATGCTCCACCCAGCCCAGTATTGTTGATCTACAATTGGCTACTCAGTCAATTCCATTTCAAAAATTAGACATGGCAAGCCAAATGACTGACAATTTAAAAAACATGATTATCCTTCTAGTACTCTAAACTTTAAAAGGGCAATGTAATGTCAAATCAGTTTACAGGTATGCACTTTACAATTCCTTCTTACAGCCCAGCTAGCCACTTTCATCACAGCTGAATTCTAAAAGCTAACTTTCTTTAGGAAGACACCACAGCACATCCACAGCATCAAATGCCTACCTGTTTACTTGTTGGTGTGAGTTTCTCTTCTGGAGACTTCGTACTAAATGTTAATAAACACTGAAAAGAGAGGTCAATTAATGGAGTAAAATGAATATAATGAGGTACAAATTAAATAAGATGACACAAAGTCCTAAAATGTCAAATTTTCATTTTGATATACACATTTGCTTACAGAAAAGCTCTAAAAGATTTAAGTTTGTTGGAAAGGTCCTGCTAAGAGTTATAAGACTATGTTTTGAGAGGCATGTAAGACCTGGTAACAAAGTAAAAGCCACTGGCTTCTTCCATAGCAACTCAAACCATAAAATTAGGGGGAAATGCTAATAAATGCAACTTCAAGTAATGTAGTGCTTTTCTTGTGTCACAGAGTTAACACAAAGCCTCACAGAGGCGGGGTGAGGTCTAGGCCAACCACATTCATAGCACTGCTTTTGGAAAATAAACCTTCAATGAAAGAGTTCTACCTAGATACAAACTTTTTTAAATGGTGTCTATAAACTGATCACACTTTTCGAGGGAGTCAATTACCTGTGATTTCGTTAGGAAGTAAAACTGGGACCTATTCAGCCACTGGTGAGCTTCTGAGGTGAATGATCCAGGGACATCTCGAGGTACAAACACTCCCCACTGGACTTCCTCTCTGGAGACATTCTTTTGAATATACAATGGCCTTGGCTCACTAGGTTTGAATACAAACACTAAAGGAGAAAACAGAAAGATGTCAGCATTTTACCTGTGGAAGCTGGTTCTAACCTCAGGCTGCTGGAACACACTCAACCAAACCTAGCCCACCAGGTAAATGGCCCTGCTTAGCACTGTTTCAAATCTGTTGTTTCTGTTTAATCAGCATACTATGCACCAAACAGGGTAGGAAGGAATTCTATTCCAGAGACCAGGGGCATCTGTAGAAGAGTGTGACACCAGAATACTGCCCAAACATTGGTCTTAAGCATCAGAAAAGACATGCAGACATTGTCTCAGAAGCAGATGAGGTCCAGTTAGACATCCAAAGGGAGATTTTGAAGACTGGGTGTGAATTGGCCTGTGGAAAATTTAGGGATATAACAGAACATTCCTGGCACTAAGTGTGAAAGCATACATTATAGGAGTTGGGCAAGAGAGGTAGGGCAGGGCCCTAGGCAAAGAGCTGCAGATGAATTTCTGATGCAAAGTGAGAGGGCTTGAGTTTATACTAAAGACATGAAAAAGAAAACTTAGGAAGCAGGCCTCACGCTATCAGAGCACGGTTAGTACTTACGATCTGAGCCCGCTGTAGACCGAGACACTGCAGCAACATAGTCTGAGTAGGGGTCGGGTTCCAAAACGCTAACGTTCAGTTTCGCACTCCACTGCACTGTGGGAAGAGGACACCCTAAGAACAGGCTCACCAAAGCTCTAAGTCTTTACAATGGGCGTTCTTTCCTGGGACAGTCCAGCCCCTCACTCTTATATGGAAGGAATTTACTCTTTTTGTAACAACAGATACACACTGCGTCCAGCCTGTTACTCTTATGAGGGAGGAGTTTACGATTCTGTAACTACATACATACACTGACATTCCCTGGGGAGGCAGGAGAAAGCAGAGCTGCACAACCAACTTCAGGTCCTCCCACACACTGTGGCATAGAACCAAAACCCAGACTCATATTGTGGTTCAAGCTAAATATCAGAAAAGCAAAGCAACCAGCCAAAGAGTTATCATCTCTATCTCTGACTGAAAGGGCAGTCCTGTCTCCACAAATCCTCGACTGAATCCAACTGCATCTGCCTCTACCAAACCTTAGACTGCAATGAGTTCCTGTCTCCTCCCACCTTACATTCCTCTCTCCACCCAGCCACCTCCCCGGTGCTGTGATTAAAGGTGTGAGGTCTGGTTCTCTTTTAGACTGATTTGCTCTCCTGCAGGCCAGGGTGGCCTTGAACTCACAGAGATCCATCTGCTTCTGTCTCTTGAGTGCTGGGATTAAAGCGGTGAGGCACCACTGCCTGGCCTCTATGACTAGCTAGTGTGGCTAGTTTTGTACTTTGATCATCTAGCAAGTTCTTTCTGTTATATCATAAACAAAAAATCACAACACACTGTGACAAAGTTGGGCTCCCTCAGACTCATGGATGTTGCTTTTCTGCTCTTACTAAATGTGGGTGACAGAGACCACCATACACATTCATTGCAAAATAATACCATACCTTCCCTATAGGCAAATCAGTACCATGCCACCAAAGCCTCATTTTTCAGGAGTACTATGACAAAGTACTTTAAAATCTTACATTGTCTGGGGTCCTACATACAATTCAACGTCTGATGATGGAGTCCTGCACCCTGAGCACACTGGGCACAAGTGCCTTATGGCTTACAGTACATAATCTGCTACCCGCCCACTGATTGAAATCTTGGTGAAATGAAAAATTACAGTGTTGTGGTAAAGACACGGAAATAGGACCCTTTATTCCTAACCTGTTAAAGTCTAACCGCTGTTTCCCAAATGTGCTTCCCTCAGAGAAACACAGCAGCTTACTTGAACAGCTGAGCAGGTTCCAACAGCAGAGTATGCCATTGTGGGTCGTGGCGAGAAGGTACTTGGAGCATGTTAGTCTTCCGAAGCACAGGTGCCTAGGTCAGAACCACACCAGGGTGAGCTGTGGCAGCGCTAGCACATTTGCATATGATGAGCCCACCGGGTTAGTTCTGCTCAATACAGACTTGCAAGCAGGCGTGGGTTTTCCTTTTGTGTTCCGAGCTGTTCTAACAGCAGTGGAAAAGGTGCTAAGGCAATACAAAGTGTCATTTAGACACTTGTATTTCCTTAGCAAACTTGGAGGATCAACTCTCTTGTATGCAGCACCATGTAACAACCACCACACAGCACAGCACAAGTTATATAAAATATATAATGACAATTAATAAAACCTGACGTTCTTTACCCACAGGGGGAGATCTATATTCAGAATTCTAAAGAAAGATTTACAAAGTAAACTCAAAATCAGCTATATTAGATGAAATTAGTCACCTTCCAGAACCGTCCTCGCGTCTGGGTACCAGAAGGAATGAATGGTTTGAGTGTTATGTTTCTATGGGAACACATAGACTGCCATGTCAGGATCAACTGAGGCTGGCATAGCTTTAATTGCTACACAACATGCCAATTAAATTGTGTATTATACTGAACAAAGTTGGATAGTCCAATGTTAATCCCAGTTTAAGAATGTCTGCCAGTGCCGGGCGTTGGTGGCGCACGCCTTTAATCCCAGCACTTGGCAGGCAGAGGCAGGCGGATCTCTGTGAGTTCGAGGTCAGCCTGGTCTACAAGAGCTAGTTCCAGGACAGCCTCCAAAGCCACAGAGAAACCCTGTCTCGAAAAACCAAAAAAAAAAAAAAAAAAAAAAAAAGAATGTCTGCCAGCTGCCCATGTACTCACAAGTTTCAGTTTTCCAACATTTTGATTAGTTTCTTAACCTTATTCCCCAGTAAACTACAGATTACTTCTATTGTGGGAAACATACATTATTATTGACGTTTAAAGACTCACTGAAATTTCAAAGAAATATATACTTTGGTAGCAATATAAACTAATTTACCTACCTTATCTTCCCAGCTCGTTGGCAAAATGTACATTTTAGTTCCCATGTTTCTGAATCCCATATTGTGACTATTTCTTCGAAACTAACTGCTAGTAAGGAGCCATCTTCAGAGAAACAGCAGTTGGTTGCTTGATACTTGTGGTAACTACCCACAAAGTCACAGGTCCAGCCAATGGCTTTTTCTGTGGAAAAACAAGACATAACAAAAATGGCGTAAACATTAATAAATAGTATTTCAGACACGTTATTAACTGAAAAAGTTAAACAAAGAAAACAAACATAACAAAAACAGATTCCACACAACTGTGCTAGCAAAGTATTACAAAACACCTTTTTGGTATTTTCCCTTCCTGAAGACCTTGACCTCCCCCTAGTGAGAAGAGAAAGACCCAGCAGCAAGAGGCCTTTCAGCTGCACCAAACTGACACAAAGTCACTCACTTCCCCAAGGCACAGATTCTGGTGAAAGACTATGTAAAAGTTTAATATGCAAAAGACTGCTGAAATTAGCAATGGTTTACACAACTTGACAAGGCAGAAAACACCTTCTCAAAGAGGGTATTAATGATGATACAAATATATCACTTCTTAAAGCTGTAACTTCTCAACACAGTCTATATGTTAACTTACTATATATATCAGAGTCATCCACTAACGCCCACACTTTGAAGTGGCCATCTCTGCTAGCTGTGACCAGTATGGGTTTTTCATAGTTTTCTGCATTATTGAAACAGAGAGCTGTGATGTGGTCATCATGCGGCATGGTGATCTTTGTGTTAAGAGCAAACCTAGTAGAAGGAAAATCACAAATTTACTCGCAGAAAAGACTTGGTAGGCTAGTACTCTATACATCATGCAATAACACCTTTAAAATGGGCAGCTGAAGCTGGGCGTTGGTGGTGCACACCTTTAATCCCAGCACTCGGGAGGCAGAGGCAAGTGGATCTCTGTGAGTTCGAGGCTAGCCTGGTCTACAGAGTGAGTTCCAGGACAGCCTCCAAAACAATACAGAGAAACCCTGTCTCGAAAAACCAAAAAAAAAAAAAAAAAAAAAAAAAAAAAAAGGCAGCTGATGGATTGTAACCCACAATGGTAAAATTTCACACACTCTATGTCTAACATTACAGTACAAGCTCTAACACCACATGCATCTGGGGTGACTCAAATACTGATCAGTATAGACAGCGGCTAGCTCACTGGAAAAAAATGAACCTAATATAAAACAAACCATGACCAAAGGCCACTGTAGCAGACTCTGTAGGGCAATTACACAGAACTTAGAGGTCTGGTTTCTTCTAAATGGAGAGAGAGGGAGAGAGCCAGGCCTTGAAAACTCCACTATATTTACATTGTGAAAACATGGGATAAAAATAACTTACTGAAATCACCCCAGTTGTTGACACTGCTTGCTCTGTCCTAAGAGAGCACCTAGCTGTGGATCAAGTGCCTCCAGGGGCAGATGCTACAAGAGAGGACTAGGAGAATCTCTTAATTCTGGGCTGTTTTTCTCATCTGTGAAACATGGGGCATAGGCTTAGCTTACTATTCTTTACAAATGTACCAAGCCAGGCGTGGTGGTACATGCCATGAATTCCAGCACTAGGGAGACAGAGACAGGCAAATCTGAGTTTGAAGCAGCATGGTCTACATAGCAAGTTCCAGAACAGCCAGGGCTACACAGAGAGACCCTGTCTCCAAAATAAAAAGGCTGGTACACAAACACCCAGTGAACAATTCTGCAAACAAGCAGCGTGTTATTTACCTAAACATGACAAATGTTATAGTTCTACTTTGACAGGTACTAAGGCACATTTGAATCCTAATTCTGGATTTGCCTAGAATTGGGTGTTATGTTGTGGAGTTACAATTCTTTCTCATGTTTGATCTTTTCTGTGATGACATAACATGATCTACATTGCACCAATGCTTTCTCAAAACAGAGCTAAATTAAAGCTTTCTTGTTAGAAAAATACTCCAAGCCCCATTTCTATGTGTAAAAATGAAACAGAAAGGTTGGCAGTTTTAACCATGAAATAGGAACGCAAGTGAGGTGGCCACACAGTAGGCTTACCCTTGGGTTTTCTTGCTATAGGTCCACAGTTTCATTTGCAGTTCGAGCTCACTTTTGTTTTCTTGTCGTTGTTCAACTGTTGCCAGCCAAGTGCCAGAACAGCCAAAGGCAGCCTTCACTAGTTCAATCTGGATTAGACCGTCATCGTTGATGTACTCTTGCTGTATGATATCTAACTGACAAGGTGAAAGAGTCCAAAATGTTATTAATGTAAGTATCGTTAACCTACAGTCAGCTTTCTTCTAAGAAAACCTAAAGGCTAAATAAATGTTATTAATGTAAGTATCGTTAACCTACAGTCAGCTTTCTTCTAAGAAAACCTAAAGGCTAAATAAATGTTATTAATGTAAGTATCGTTAACCTACAGTCAGCTTTCTTCTAAGAAAACCTAAAGGCTAAATAAATGCTCTATCCTGTTAAGAGAGTTAAAAAAAATAAATACATAAAAGCAGGCTAGCTTTTTATTTATGACTAATCTCTTAATTCCTTAAAATGAATTGTCTTGTGTTGCTAAGAAAATAAAGTGGTTGTTTTTGGTTGAGGAGCCTTCATCTAAATAGCTATAGATCCAAAATGTCTTCAGATTTCATTTGAAGTTTAGAATGGTTTTATAGACACAGGAGATATTTGGGGGCTAGGACCCAAGTCTACATATAAAATTCTTTACGTTTTTTATATGCACTTAAATCTACAGGCAGCCGGTGGGTAATTTTACATAGTAGTTTTAGCATTGTGCTGTGACAAGTCTTCACATGAAGTCAGGCACGGGATTTTCCTCACATAGTATCAGGGAAGTACTCAGAAGTTTTAGATCTAGAAACATTTAAGAGTTTGGACTTTGGCCAAGCATGGTGGCATATACCTTTTAACCCCAGTACAAAGAAGACAAAGGCAGGTAGACCTCTGGGTTCAAGGTCAGCCTGGTCTACAGAGTGAGTACCACTACAGCCAGAGCTAAACAGAGAAGCCCTGTCTTGAACCCCCCACCCCATCCCTGAAAAAAAAAAAAACCAAACCAAAAAAAAAACCCTTTGGATTTTGAGTCTGGGGATGTTCAAAACTGTATTAAATGTATTAAGTGTCCTTTCAGAACATGTGGGGGTACTAACTGTTTTTATGTTTAAAGGATATGGGAGAGAAGGAAGGAAGGAAGGAGGGAGGGAGGGAGGGAAGGGAGGAAGGAAGGAAAAGTTAGTTACTACAGCAGTAATGTAAGAAGAGCACTGCAGGGCACAAGGAAAAGGTGGGCCGCATGTGTCAGGACTGAAGTGTTCTTGTGTAATCTACACTAACTTTGAACTCTGGCATGCGAATGACAGTTTTACCACCCAGCAGACCCCATCAACACAGGCTCATTCCCTTTCACTGTGACTCAAAGCACATGTGTGGGCAGCAACAACTGCACTAGAGACTAGAGTAATCACAGACACTATCAGCTAGGTTCAAACACAAAGCATAGGATCAACATCTGCAGTTTCCACACAACCCCAGCAGCACTGTACAGACCTTTCACTCATTTTAAAACTTGGCTTATGGATCAAAATCTTACATTATATAACTGCTTATCACCCTGGAGAGAATAAAATTGCAGGTGACCAGGCTTTCCATTCAAAACCAAAGCCTTGGTTCTTGGGTCGACCATCAGGCCAGTAGATATACTCCTATCTGCAAGAGAAGTGACAGACGTCAACCGCACTGTGGCAGCAGCCACACACCAGGTACAATCCCACATCCCCTAGAGGCTGCAGTACCTTTGACTAGGCCTTGAATGACAGCAGATGCGCTGAGATTTCGGTGAATAACTGTTATCTCTGTTAAAGCAGAGAGAAAAATAATTAAACATAAACAGATCAGAATATCAAGGTGATGAGGACCTTTGGAATATACCAGAACACAAGAAAATCCAGTAAGTTCAACTAAGTCAGTGTTACTAGAAAATCAGGGCTATATTCTGCGAGCTAACTGAGCAATTAGGGATGGGGATAGAAGTTTCTGTAGAAGTCATTAGCCCTTTCTTTCAAACTATGTGTGCTCATGTATGGGTGTGGGGAAGAATGCGCATGTGAGTGCAAGAGCTTGGGGAATCTAGACAAGGCAGTGGGTATCCCAAAACTGGAGTTGCAGGCCTGATGTGGGTGCTGGGAACTGAGTAGGGTCTGCCTAAGATTAGGGTTTCTATTACCCGCTTTCACAGCTAGTGCTCATGGACAAACGGATAGTTCACAAACTGACCTAGGTGAGAAGGAACGGGAAAAGAGTGAGTGCCCTTCCTCCTACCACACGCCACAGCACTCATGTAGAGCTACGTCAAGGGAAGCTCACTGGCATGCTCAGAAAAGGCCACGACTTATCAAAGTAGGAAGGCCCACTTCAAACCTGCCTTCCACTTTAAAGAGTCTGAAAATACAATCTCCATAGCAACAAGAAAACGTATTTAGCCTTATGTTTTCATAAAAAGGATCTGAGACTGATGGGTCTGAAGGCGTGTGAGGCTGAGGGGTGGAGAAAAGTAGAACTCTTTTACCTATTACCTCCTCACAATGAGCAGCTCAGACTTACTGTTATCAGAGTGTGAAGTACAGAACAAGTCTCCCGCAGGTGACACAGAGATGTGCTCAATAGTAGATCCCAAGCGAGGGAGAAACTCCTTGTTCTTCTCTGATCCTTCTCGCCACTCTACAAGCACACATTCGCGCCCGCCACTCAGCAGACTGGTGCCTTTGCAGCCAAAGAAACCACATGTGCAGAGTTTGGAGGAAAAAAGAAAACAAAAACAAACATAATCAGCATTTAAGTGATCTCTTTGGAAACTTACAAAAGTGTCTTTCTTGTCTTCCTATCATTTTAGCTGGCTTTATTGATTATCTTTCAGTCTTATTTTAATTGACATAGCTGTGCAGATATACACAGTACAACATAATGCTTGCATCCATATATAGTGTAATACTCAAATCATGTAATTTGAGCATCTGGCACCTTGAGTATTTATCTATTCCTTGTGATGAAACAATCAAAATCTTCTTCTATAGTCACAATAGTAATAGCTACAGCCACCCTATTGTGGAACAGAGGAAACAGCAAAGATGACCTACAGATAAAATGTTTGTCAATCATACATCTGATAAGGGATTAATAGTTATAAGATGTAAAGAACTCAAATAACTCAGAAGTGTAAACAGTACAATTGAAGAATGGACAAAAAATATAAATAAATAAAAACACTTTAATATAGACATTTCCCAGAAGATACACAGATGATCAACAGATGTATGAAAAAAAATCCTCTGCACTCTGTATCAGTAACTATCAGAAATACAAATACACACTCTAAATGAGGCAGAGCCTCACTCTGTCAGAGTGTGGAGATAAAGGGATCCTTACACTTATGCTAGCTAGTCACCACCTCAAATTCGCACTTCCTTCATCCGTGAAAGAGCAACTAACAACTTCACTATTCCAAAGACCGAGGATGGAAAACACTGGCAGCTATTGGCATCTGATAAACAGCAGCAGTTATTGACTACAACTTTACAATAAGACTGTATCAAAACCTGGCGTACACTCTACATATGTTCTCCATGTGAGTAGAACCGAGCACAGTGTATATTCTGGAACCTAAACCACATTTCTATTGTGGTGAGCAAAGCCCAACAAAGGTCATAGAAAGTGTCTGCAATTTGACTCACATAACCTATTTTTGTTTGTGACAGGATCTCACTACAAAGCTTAGGCAGGCCTTGAACTCATGGTAGTCCTCCTGCCTCAGGCCCCTAAAAATGGGATTACAGTTGTATACCACACCTGGTATAATTTTAAATCTTAAACTATAAATGCTGTGAATTCCAACATTTGATTCAGGTACTTCTAAATTTCCTTTTAATTATCAAAGTGGCACTTACCTGTCACTGTAAAAGCCAAATCCATAACCATATCATGGTGCCAATGCAAACACGTATATGTGTATTTCTTATCATCATGAAAATTCCTCCTATTGGAGAAAACAAAACACTTTAACATTTTTTTCCTCACATAATAAATCCTGATTACCCTCCCTGAACTCCTCCCAGCTCCTCTCCACCTCCCCTCTCATCCAGACCCACTTCCTTTTCTGTCTCTGATTGGAAAACAAACAGGCTTCTGAGACAGTAATAAAGTACAGTAAAACAAAAACACATCAGAATTGGACAAAACAAACAAAAGGAAAAAAGTCTAAGAGAAGGCACAAGAAACAGAGACCCACTGCCATGCTCAGGAATTGCATACAAACACTGAACTGGAAACCATCCTACACAGGTAAAGGACACTATGTCTGCCTCCTCTTGCACAGGCTTCCCTGAGCTATGAGAGAAGTTATTTGATGGAGTCATTCATTTAGGGCTGAGGAAAGAGAACTCTTACCTTGCCCTTGGGTGAACATAGGAAACAACAGCATGCTAAATCCAACAAATAGCAGTCTCAAGTGTTCTGGCATCAGGGTTAGGGACCACCCACTAGGTCCTCAGGAATGTCACACTGTCTTATTTTAGTTAAAACAGGACATAAAATGGCTCCAGGTGACAGAATGCCTCCCTGTCTGCACAAGCTTGAGGCTAGGACCCCTGCATCACAGCATGAAGGGAGCATGACAAGAAACGGGGCAGCAGCACAGAGGCGCTTCTGCAGCACTGACACTGGCGCCACCTTCCTTTGGACCTAGGGACAGTGCCGCTCTGCAGGATGAGTGTGAAGCAGCATGTAAGTGACCCAGGTCTTCCCAAGCTCACTGACCAAAGGCGGATTTTGCCATCCATGTGGCCAGATGCGATGCAGTCTTCCTTGGGGTGGCATGCTACACAGGTAAACTTGTTCTTAGCATTCTTCTTATTTTTGGTTGATGGTAAAGTAAAACTAGGAAAAAGAAAAACAACCTCCCCTTGGTTATGAATCAAGCATTCTGTTTGGTAAGCATTTACCAATATACAGCATAAACTTCATGTGACTCACATCTTATCACAAGAACTGGTCAGTGGAAGCTACTAAGGTAAGTCCTTTTAGCACCTTTTTCTGGCCTGGGGACAGCTGATTCAATCTTTCTCTCTGAAGCGGAATTTCAGCATTAAATGTATGGCCATGCTTATTAAGCTCTAAGTGAAGTGTGTCCTAAAGGGACAATACAGAGTGATAAAATCATTCGCTCTGTCTAGGTTGGTTCCTAATCCACTTCTGAAGAAGTGAGGATCTTTCTACAAACCATGCTAACTTAAGGGTAGCTGGGAAGATGACCCTGGCTAAGACAGACTGACCACACAACACTCAGCTCAGCACCAGCCTCTCTAGACACGGCATCTTACTCATCCTTACAACTCAATTAAATACGGTCTCTACTTAAACTTATTAACTTGAATTACATGGTGGCTGAAATGCACTAAACATTGTAAGGCTATACTGGTCTGGGGGGTATAAAAAACTAGCTTAGTGAACCATTACTACTCAGGCCTGTGCTTTAGTTCCACCCCTGAGTTTCCACTCTAACTTCCCTTTAGGATGTATTATGAAAACAAGATGTTAGCCAAATACACCCTTTCCTCCCCACCTACTTTTGGTAAAGGTATCTTATCGCAGCAATAGAAAGAACACTGCAACAAAACCTTAATCTACTGCCTATTTCAGCCCTACAGCCAATGAGAATCATCAGGCCAAGCCTTGTCAATTTAAGTCCAATTTTTACACCAAATCCACACTTGGTGCACTGTATATAGGGTTTGAGATGGAGGGGACTCCTAGCTAAGATCATCCTCTACCACTGTGGGTCAAAAGGTTTGTCACTCTATATGATGGTCCCACTTCTTGAAACAAGACCCAGGTTTGGACCCAGTGCTCTGGTAAATACAACAAAGTTAATAAAAGGGAAGTCTTACTTGCATGTTTTCTTCTTTTTGAGAAAGTAAACAGATAAGTAAAAGTCCCGCACTGCAGCAATATACTCCCCCTGGTGATTTAAGCAAAAGGTAACATTAAAAAGAAATCTCTTTATCTGCAACTTTACTCTCTAGCTTTAAGTGTAGTGTTTTACATTTTTTCCCATTAGGCATACATATGATACCATGCCCTGTCTGACTCTGTCTACATTAACTGCTACCACAATCAAGATTTAGAAACAGTTCCTTCAACACAAAAAATGTCCCTTCCCTGTTTGGTCATTCCTCAATGTCCCAACTCTCACCAGCAACTGTCATTTTAACATCACAGCTTATTTTATTGCAACTGTACCTCAACACTAACCTTCTGAAATTTGCCTTAGGTATACTGTGAATTTCTTTTCACTGTTGAGTAGCATTCAGCTGAATAAGTACACCAGGATTCTGTTGTTAGCTGGCTGACTCTGGGTTGTTAAGTTTATGTAATGGCCATACAGGGTTACGTGGAACAGTTGGCAGTCCTACACATGCTACTCTGTGGTTATGTTTTGTCTCTGTACAGAAGTGGGCTAGGGCCAGGGGATTTAACTTTGCTCCTTATCGTGACACCAGTAGTAATCTTAGTAGAGGTGAAGAGGATTCTAACCATGGTTTTACCAAAACTGATGGTCAGCAAGACTCAATACTCAATGATAAAGCCTTCTCTCCCTTGAGGAATTAACCCTGTCCAGAAGAATGACAAAATAATTCTACAAACCCCAAGGCTAATGAAATAGGTCTTTAGCAGCATTTTATTTAAAAAAAATATTAACAGGCAGCTAAACAATGGTGCAAATACCATAAAGTACCTGTCAAAAACATGTTAGCATTCATGCATGTTGCAATATTAAGTTGAAAAGAGAAAATTATTCTCATCCTACTTCCTTTGGGAACTGTCATCTTCTATGTGTTCAAAACAGTCCTTAAATATTATCACTCGTGAGACTGAACATTTTCTTTCCTCATTATTTTTTTCTGCAATGTCTGAATTTCCTATAGTGGGTACATTAATTATAGATACAGAGTCCATATTTTTTAAAGACACATGGCCTAAAATGGAACAACTTCTTTTTTTAAATGGAACAAATCAGTGATTTTTATATGAAACAGGCAAAGAAGAGCACAAATACCACACATTGTTATTTTGGGGAAAAGTATAAAAGAGCAAAGGGCAGAATATATAACACACGGAAGGTTATAAACTAATACACACAACATAATCCAGGAATACTTGTCAAAAGAATATCATAGATTTTTAGTTACTAACAAAAGTACAATATAGCACTGAATCATCAGTGTTGAGGGGAAAACTTAGGGAACAGATTTTAAAAATAAGCAGAAGCTAACAGAACCAATGTACCTCATTTCCAAAGGCAATGCACTTGGGTGAGCGATTTACATAATCCAAAACAAAGGACAGTTCCCTAGCTTCCACGTCCTGGCTGGATGACTTAGGCAGCTTCACTGAAACCAGCTGAAATATGTCTAGCCAGAGGAAGTAATTTGTTAGACAGTTTCTCTACAGCAAGTACATTTAATCATACAAAACTGCTAATCTATACTCTCAAATGCTACGACTGTAACTTAACTGTAGGTCATCTTGAACAAAACGTACCTTCATTTAAAAAAAAATATTTGTCGCCGGGCGGTGGTGGCGCACGCCTTTAATCCCAGCACTCGGGAGGCAGAGGCAGGCGGATCTCTGTGAGTTCGAGGCCAGGCTGGACCGACAGCCTCGAAAACAATACAGAGAAACCCTGTCTCGAAAAACCAAAAATAAATAAATAAATAAATAAATAAATAAAATTTGTCTATTCGTATTTTACGTCTGAGTTCTGCCTGCTTATACATAAGTGCACTTTGTGCACAGCCTGGTGCCTACAGGGGTCCTGGGGGTGGAGTAACGGGTGGTGGTGAGCTGCCATGTGGGCGAAGGGAACCAAATCTGAGTCTTCCGCAAGGGCAGCAAGTGCTCTTAACTGCTAACCCATCTCCCTAGTCCCTGAACTCTTCATTTCATGAAGTCTAATACTCAACTCCTCAACACTCCTGGCTGTATCAGGAGTTTTACACAGGTGTACTTTTGTTTCAAAGTACTACACTGAGGTTTAAAATGGGTCTGAGCTGGTACTACTTGGCTTTAATCCCAACACTCTAGAGTCAGAGGTAGAGGTAGGAGGATCTCTGTGAGTTTGGGGTCAGTCTGGTCTATACAGTGAGTTCCAGGACAGCTAGAACTATAAAGATTTTGTCTCAAAAAACAACAACAAAAAACTCCAATAAATAAATAAAAATAAAATGGGAGTGGTGGCACACGCCTTTAATCCCAGGACTTGGGAGGCAGAGGCAGGCAGTCTCTATGCATTCAAGGCCAGCCTGGTCTAGAGAGCGAGTTCTAGGACATGCTCCAGAGCTACACAGAGAAAGTCTGTCTTGAAAAACTAAACTAAAATAAGATAAAATGGGACTGGTGAGAAGCCACCTGAGAACTTCCTGAAATGTTGGCTGGGGAGGTGGCTCAGTGGTGCTTGCCACGAACATATGAAGACCTGAGTTAGATCCTCAACCAATTACAAAAGCCAGCACAGTGGTGGGTGCCCAGGAGGAGTCCTGGGAGCTAGCCTAGCTGAGTCAGCAAGCTGCAGGTACAGAGATTAAGTGGAGACATAGGAAGATACCATGGAGTAGCCCTCCATGTGCACACCTGTGTACATGAGTATGTATGTAGGCAGCTATGGCCCATTAGAACGTTCACAGATAAGCTTAAAATAGGCACACAAACCAAAAAGTTACTGATATTAAACCATAAGCAATTTTAAGTATACATAATTGTACCATTTAGTAAAAATGAAAACAATTTTCATACTAAGGACATGTGTATGTTTGTATATTTTTACATAAAGAATTAAATATCGGGGAATTCAGCTGACTATCTAGTAACTATATCAAAACTGCTTTGAACTTTTAATTCTGATACAACTGTATCTTATAGAGTGAGTGGCACTCTTGAATTCCAGCATCAGAAATTTTCTTTGGGTAACTTCTTGTTGGTATCTATTATATCAAGTTCTACCATGGAGAATAATTCTCCATGATTACTTACAATGTTGTAGACATTCCTAAAATGCTGATACATGATAGTTTCACTAATATTAAACAGTAACAGCTCAGGCACACATTCCTGGTTCTTAATATCAATTTCTACTTATTTTATTTGATATGACTCAAGACCAACAAATAAAAGGACAGTGATACTTACTAAGAAATGGCATTAAAATTCAGCAGAAAGAGAAATTCTAACTTGGCTCTAACACCTAGATCTGAGTCCATTATTAATTGATAAATACGTGTATATATATGCAGTAATCATTATCCACTGAAGACCTCAGAACAAAACCTCCCCCAATATAAAGATGACAGAAATGTAAATGTCGACTCAAAACTGCTAGCTTGAGATTAAAATTACTGTTGAGAAACATAATTTTGAGAAACTGTAAGATGCATCTGATGTCCACAAAAACAAACTAAGTGCTGTACCTGGTTCTTCTTTACTTATTGTAAGGAAGACAGAATCTTCGGCTCGGGCAGGAATAAAGATGGCATGGAGTTTAGGTCCAACTCTGAACGTCTGAAAGAGATGACAGATCCCACTGTGCACTGCCCAGTTCCTCCAGAACACTGTGCTCGAGGCAGAGCTGAAGGCTTTCTCACTGCTGTTTTCCTAACACAAGAGTGCCTGTCCGTAGAGGCCATGCACACTATTTGTTGAATAATCTTCTATACACCGTCCTGACTTTTCAATGATCACATAGTGTCTCACTGACTAAACCTATCTTAATTTTAAGTAACATCAAGGTTACATAGATTTTTCCACCACAATTTAAGAACTACGTACATTATAGGATATTTCAATGAGAAATTCTTACAGAAAAAAAAGTACTATACTTTTCGTTTTCTTCTCATTGACAAACATACAAATGTCTCTCTAGATTGTGCTCATTACTGAACTTCTTTTTACAATGTGTATTTTGGGAAGGAGGGAAATCACTCTGCTATCTGTTTAAATTCACACTTTTAAAATTAATGGGATGAACCATGTCATCATGGTAACTGGTATTTCTTTTGCTGTTATGTACAACTACTAACTTGAACCTGCCTCCCCTACCCTTTCCTGAGAATGCTGGACAGAACCTGGGACCTCACAGACTCTCCATCACTGAGCTACATCCTCAGGGTCCATGCTCATTTATTTCCCATCCTGGTGGTATTGAAAATATTTTCTCTCAAATGTGGTACATCTACACAATGGAGTACTATTCAACAGAAAAAAATAATGGAAATCATGAGATTCGCAGGCAAATGGATGACACTAGAAGAAACCATCCTGAGTGAGGTAACCCAGTCACAAAAAGAGAAACATGGCATGTACTCTCTCATATATGGATTTTAGACATAGATCTGGGGAGTGACAGCCTACAATCCTATGGCCAGAGAGTCTGGGAAACAGAAACTTCATTTAGTGGCTGATCGAAGAAGAGGCAGACTCCCTTGGTTAAGTACTGAGCTGAACTCAAGAAAGCCAGTAACAGAGAGGGAGGACTGATGATCAAAGGGATTAAGACTGGGCTGGTTTAACCCCCAGAAACAGCTGACCAGACAAAGGTTAACTCTTGAATCCCAGGCATCAGCCTGGGAATCCAGCATGGGACTGATCAAGACCCCCTGAATCTGGGTGTCAGTGAGGAGGCCTAGGTAATCTATTGAGCCTTGGGCAGCAGATCAGTACCCATCCCAAGTATACACACGGACTTTGGACTCCCATAGAACAATGTGAGGTGTACTCTCAACCTGAACTCTTGGGGAAGGGTCTAGGCCCTGCCCTATATGAAATGACAGACTATGGACACCCCCATGGAGGGCCTCACCCTCCCTGGGGGAATGAGGGGATAACGGGGGGGGGGGAGTTGGGGGAGGGCACAGGAGGAGGGGAGGGAATGGGAGAGGGACCTGGAACTGACTTGTGAAGCAACCTCGTTTCTTATCTAAATTTAAACTGGAAAATAAAACATATATAAAAAAAAAAAGATTTTCTCTCAGTGATTTTATTAGTCTTCTTTTTATGATAGAATCTTCAAATTTTCAGTCAAGGATGTACCTTATAAAATAATGTAATTTCTTAACTTGTTCAGGAAGTCCTTTCAAGATTAAGCCCCATAGAAGAAAACTAAAGAGCAATATACACACCTTTATCAAAATGCCATCAAGGTAGTCCCACAGTTTAATTGTGCCATCAAAGGAACAAGAGAAGAGCTACAAGGGTAAAACATCACAGAACAGATTAAACAGTACCCCAAAAATGACACACGAATAACTAAAGGCCTAAAGGACTGCTTGGTTTGTTGTTCATTAACTCATCGTTAGCCTCTAAGGGGTGGTAGAATTTATAAAATTTGAATATCCCCATTTAAAATCCAAGTATAAAGTTTCATGAGCCCCAACATGATACTCAAAAAGTGTCAGTTTCAGCTTTAGGACTTGGGGCTGTTCAACCAGCAAAGTAAAATATTCCCTGAATCCCAAAGCTCCAGAATCCAAGACACTTCCACCCTAAGTGTCTGAGATAAAGGACACCAGTCAGTGGTCTCTACAAAATAATCTAATTACAGCAGCTAGCAACTTCAAGTCTTAGGTAGAGATGAAGGGGAGGGAATCAAGTTTCTGTTCTGACGGGGGATATGGCATGGGATGAGTAAGGAAGGTGTGCTCAAGAATTCGTTCTGCTTTCTCTAACGCCCAATACTTTCCTATTAGTGTCATGGCAGTCATCTTACCTAAGTATTAAAATACGTTCCTCAAATGGCAGCATACACATTTCTTTCCTTTTTAACCCAACCCATTAAAGACCATTACTTTCAGAAACAGTAGGAATTCTACAGCCACAGTGCTGCCACGTTCTAGGACTCATCTTTGTGGCACGTTACCACAGACGGCTTGACAGTGTTAGACTAGTTCGTGAACCCTTGGTGAGCACAGATCTTAATAACATGGGATTGTTAAGTAAGCTTAACTTTACTAGGTTACACAGGTTTTGTACTGTTAGGTGAAGATAGCTTGTTTATAAGATTTATACGTAATTTTAATTTGAAAGAAAGTGCCAATTTGATGATTTTTCTGAACTGGGTCATGAATTCAGAGATTAAAAATAAAAAGTATTTGAGTAAGACAGTATTATGTATTCAGGTAAAATAATTATGCTTGGTTAAAAAAATAAATGCCAGTTATTTTATCTAAGAATCATAAATACGGATTAGTAAAACAGTTACAAATACAAGCACTGTCAAAACAATGGAGAACTCTCAAGTTTACATCAGTTAGTTTTGTCCCACGACCTCATTCCCAACAGATTATTTCCCTGGTTATAATCGGTAAAGCACCCCCACCAAATTTAACTGAAACCTTCCTGTCAATAAAAAAACCAATGCTAGCATGTCCCATTCCAGACTAGCACCTGCAGATGGTTGTTGGGGTTGAGGAGAATTCCTGACACCACGTCTTCATGCCCGTGCAGAACGTGTACACACTCTTCTGTGGCACTGCTATAAACCTTAACAAAGTCTCCTGAGACACAGAAGATATACCTGGAAGAGAGAGAAATCTAAGTCTCACATATTACAAAGACAGTCTTTTGTGGCCTATGTTGTTAAAACCTATGGGATAGCAAACAACTGGACTGCTCTGTGCTGAATGGCACAGACACTGATGTCCAGTTACTCTTCAGTGGTTCACAGGCAGCATGTGTACTGTGCTCCAAAATGCTCCATAGTTGACTGGAGATATCAGCTCACAGATGCTGAGTGAACAGTGCTCTCAATGGTGAGGTCCATGTCACTCCTGTATTCCATCAGCTTCTTTTCCAACAGCTGAAATGGTGATTTTGTTTATACCTCTTTGGAGTTGTAGCTTCCTCCCACAAAGCAGATGCTCTTTCATAACCCAAAGTGATGACATTCATAATAGAACTTGTCATAAGAAAAGTTCACAAAAGATACTTGCCACACATGGTAGAAGGCTCAAGCCAGTGAGGCTATTCTCTGTGCTCCCAAAGCGCCTGTGCATGAACATCCTAAGAGGAGAGGTTGCTATTGCCCTGCTTTATCAAATCGATGACACTGTGTTGCTTACCAGTTCTCATCTTTAAAGACAGAACGCAGATCATAATGGACTGTATGTCTATAAACTACTGGCTAACAGGTGGCTGTGCACGATCAGCTCAGGAAAGGGAACCACCCCAAAGCACCTGCAGTGCTCCATCTTCTTCAGTATCTTGGTTCAGAGGCAAATGATTGTAGCCCGCACCACTCTTAAGGTGCTCTTAGTCTCCATGAGTGGTTGATACAACCAGGCTTCATAGTCACACCAAGTTAATTCTGCAAAACTTGACCTTATCCCTCCCCAAATAAAGATACAACAAAACCAAGTTTTTTTTTTTCACTAAACAGCAAAGAATAACCAGATAATCTCTCTCCCAACCTCATTCTCCACTAGTTCTCATCACATATAACAATCTCTTCAATACAAACACATGTCTATGCTGGGCCTGGTGATACAAGCCTGTAATTCCATCTACTTGGGAAGCTGAGACAGGAGCATCATAAGTATAAAGGTGCTGGACTACACAGCGAATTCAAAACCAACCAGGGAAACTTAGTGAAATCCTGTTTCAAAAGAAAAAAAAAAAAAACAAAACCAAAAGAAAAAATAAGTGGGTGTACACATGCAGGTGTGTGTGGGGTGCTGGGAGGCAGAGCTAAGTAATGGCGCTAGTAGCATCTGCAAGGTCCTAGCGCCAAGCTGCACAAACAAAGCAAACCAACCCACTGCCTTTTTGGATCCTGCCGAAGGGAGGCCTTTCATTCATCTCCTCAATAAACAACCTTCTTGGCCTAGCCTAGTGTGGTGGTTTTAATGAGAACTGAATGGTCCCCATAGATTCAGATGTTTGAATACTTGGTTCCCAGTTGGAAGAATTGTTCCTAAAGGATTAGGAGGCATGGCCTTGCTGGGGAAGTGTGTCACGGGGGGAGGGGGGGGGCGCAGGCTTGAAGATTTCAAAAGCCCATGCCATCCTTAGCTGATTCCCTCTGATGGGGATGTCTCAGGTACTGCTCCAGCACCAAGCCTGCCTGCTTCCATCATGCTCTCTACCATGATGGTCACAGGTTCTAACCCTCTGCAACTGTGAGCTTCAAATTAAACATTTTGTTTTCCAAGTTGCTTTGGTCATGGTGGTTGTGTTTTCTTGTTGTTGTTTTTTTATTTATATTTATTTATTTTGGTTTTTCGAGACAGGGTTTCTCTGTATTGCTTTGGAGGTTGTCCCGGAACTTGCTCTGTAGACCAGGCTGGCCTCGAACTCACAGAGATCCGCCTCTGCCTCCCGAGTGCTGGGATTAAAGGCGTGAGCCACCAATGCCTGGTGGCCATGGTGTTTTGTAATGGCAACAGAAAAGTATATAATACACCTAGAGCCCTCTGCATCATCTCCATTTTTCTCAATACTGAGTAATGTAGCCTTAAAAGCGCCTTGGGTTTGAAAGAGCTGCTACTGTTTTTTCTTCTCCATACAGTGAGTTTGTCTTGCCTTTTTGTCAGATCAGCTAGTTATACATAAAACAGTTGACAAATACAAAACAATAACAGCAACAACAACAAAAAAAACCAACTATCAGACTTGGCAAATTAAATGGACCACATACCTCATTCCAATAACTAAGCTGAGGTGCAGTTAAATGAGGGTGAAATTGGATATAAGGATGAGTCTGGAGGGACAGAACTGTGACAACTCTGAGCCCGTCCCCCCTTCCCCCCCCCCCCGCCCTTTATCTCATAAAACAATGTCAACAAAACTCCCTTTACTTGTAAGGACTATCTTGTAAAGACCCTTGACTTGGGTGTGTGGAAGTTACTTTCATCATTCATACAATGAACAACCAACTACCATCTTACACTCACGGGCATGGTATCGAGGGAGAGTATGCCCTCCATAAATACAATCTTTACCCTTCTAATAGAGAAAATTTTTTTCAACTAAGTATCTCTATTCAGAGTACTTTGAATGAGTAAATAAACAAATAAATGATTACTTAGTAATTTAAAAATATTTAGTAGTTACTAGCGGGCATCTCTTCTACATGATACAATGTAGCAGCAGCAGCAGCAAGGATGCCAGCTGACTTGCAGTGTGCCATCGAGGCCAAGCGCTGTAGACGGATTACCTCCTAGAGACCTCACATCGGCTTTTACTATGTAAAGTTCCAGGAATAATGGTAATAACGGAGTACGAACTCTCGCCTGGGCCGAACAGCACACAGCCTGGACCCTTTTCCAGCCGCGCAGGAGACCTGGTCTAGCTTGGCCGCGCGACCTGTCCCTGCACCTGCGACCTCCCCGGTACGAGTCGGGGGAGCCCAGGCTCACCCACGCAGCAAGCAAGGCCAGGCTGTCCCGGGAGCTCCGGGTCTGGGCACGCGGAGTCCAGGCTCGCACTCGGCCGCGCCTGACAACAGCTCCCTCCCCGGCCGGAGCCCGCCGGCGCCCCGTCAGCCCGCTGCATACTTCGAATCCGCAGAGAACACGGCCCTCCTGAAGTTCAGCCGGCTACCGCCGCATCGAACCACGCGGACGCTCTCCTCTACCATCTTCGCGCAGACGCACCGAGCGCCGGCTCCACCACCCACTTCCTTTCCGGGCCGCCTCGACTGGGCGTGTTTCTCCGCCTCGGTCCGCCCGGGCTCCTCTAGCTCCGAGACTCGATGGTCAGGTCAGCGCCTGCGCCGCCATCTTTAGTGTGGGCGCTGTCAATTTAAGAAAGAGTGAAGCCGAACAGCCATGCACAAAAGTAAACTGTTCCCGATACCGCCGCAGCTATTTAATACAAAGACAGAGCTTTCCCTCCGGCCCCTTGAATCAGACTCTGTAGCCTCGGCCAGAAGCAGAAGTGAGCGCCACTCCTCCCACCGAAGGCCTCGCCCTTTCTGTCCCAGAGATTGAGCGACAGGAAAATGACGCAATCACCCCGCGCCAATTTACCTCGGTTACCGGATTAAGGGATTTTGTTTGTTTGTTTTTAGTTGCAGTAACCGAAGTGGGATCCTTTAGCTATCACTCGCAACGTTTTTTGTGAGCATCGCTAAAATCCTACAGCATCTTTGAAATCCCTGCAGCTATCAGCTGTCATTGCCATGTTCTTTTCTTTGGCGAAGCCGTCCAGGGTTAAAAGTGGTGGCGCACACCTTTAATCCTGGCACTCTGGTTGCAGAGGCAGGCGGATCGGATCTCTGAGTTCAAGAGCAGCCTGGTCTACAGAGCGAGTTTCAGACCAGCCAGGGCTACACAGAGAAAACCAGTCTTCAACCCCCACTCCCCCCAAAAAAGCTGCAATGGCTGTTGGATTTGCTAAGGCTGTTGAGTTCCTCTGGCTTTAGTCCTGAGTTAAGGGGATGTTGATTGTAGGGAAAAGGGACCAGTCAAAGAAACACACCCTGAGCAGAGCCAAAGAAACACACTTTGGCCCTGCAACCAGAACTAAAGAAATGTACCCTGACCCTGAAACCAGTGCCAAAAGAACACATTTTGTCCCTGGAATCAGAGTCAGTGAAAGAAATGCACCCTGGCCCTAAAATTGGAGCCAAAAGGCTAAAAAGGACCAGAGAAAGAAACACACTTTGGCTCTGAAACCAGAGCCAAATCTGACCCTAATCATGTGCAGAAAACTAACCAATCACTGAGCAGAGCTCTAGCCAATCTGAGCTCAGCACTAAAATCTGACCAATCCCCACCCTGGAAGCCCTATATAAATCCTGTGTCTGTTCAGCTTGTGTCTGTTCGCTCTACCAGGCTGTCCTCTGCCACTCTGGCAGAGGGCAGCCACTCTCCTGGATCCTTCCCTCCTAATAAACCCCTTCAATGAGCTTTGGGTGAAGATCTTCTTTAGCAGCAGCAACGGAGCAGAGGGGACCCTGGGCAGGGCAGGGCAGGGCAGGGCAGGGCAGGGCAGGGCTGTGACACTTGCTTGGGAAACCTTCCCTTGGCAGAGCGGAGTTCTTACACTCCACTCCCCGCTCTCTCTCCGCTCTCTGCTTTTTGGGAGCAGAGCTGAACTGTAGCAACTTCCTCCTGCCGAGCAAAACTGTTACACTTGGTGAACATCCCCAGCTGGAAGACCCTGTCCTGCTGTAGCAGAGCAGATACACTGGGGAAGCCTTTCCCTGAGGCTGGGCTGTAAGCAGCTAAGCTTACTACAACCTGTGGTGGTCCTTGGCTCCCAAGCTCCAGGATACCTTTCCATCTGAGCTGTGTAATCCTCAGTATCCTGTGACTCCCAAGAGCCAGAATACCTGACCCACTCCTGTTCCATCCTGATCCGCCCGGAACACTTACATTTGGTGCCAAAAATCGACTGAAAAGCCAACATTGATGCCTCTCTAACACTTTATATATGCATTATGTATGTGGTCACTGCATATTGGGGTATGTTTGTCTGCGGTGAGCCGTTCATCTGTCAACAGTATTTCCCATTTGTGCTGGCTCTGAACTACCCCTAAAGAAGAGCCACTGATCTCTTCATCCTAACGGAAGCAGAGGCTTGGTACATTTGCAACTCACCATAAATGTATGCTTATTCACAGCAGGAAAATATATTCTCAAATGTCAGAACAGCTTTACACATCACAATTGCAACAAACAAACAACAGAGAAATTTACTTTCTGTTGGGTTAAGCACATGAGAAACATTAAATTTTTATAGTTTGGGAACCAGAGCTAAGCAGAGAGGCACTGATTATTATGTTAAATAGTTTTTTTCATGATTATGATATGCCTTTTCTTAGTGGAAGAACACGGTGAATTTAGTGTCGCCAGGCCCCACTCCCCAGTCTCTTGATGTCTAAGTAATAAATCCTTTAAGCTCTCTTGGAAACTCTGAGATCTGATATAAGCTTATTATATCCTGAGGCGATGAAGAAAAAAACAATGAACAAATCAGTTTTGATTTCAGTTGTTTTACTATGTTTTTCTTCACAACCGTGCTGGAGAGGCTGTGGAGCAAGGTGAACACTCCTCCATTGCAAGTGGGGGTAAAAACTTGTACAGCCACTTTAAAAATCAATATGGTTGTTTCTTAGAAAACTGGGAATCAATCTACCACAAGACCCATCGATACCACTCTTGGGCATATACTCCAAGGATACACACTCATACCACAAAGACACTTGCTCAGTTTTGTTCATTGCAGCATTATTCTTGTTAGCCAGAACTTTGAAACAACCTAGATAATCCTCAACCAAAGAATGGATAAAGAAAATGTGGTACATTTATAAAATGGAGTATTACTTAGCTGTTAAAAATGGCATCATGAAATTTGAAGGCAAACATGTTATGTACTCACTTATAAGTGGATATTGGTTGTAAAGCAAAGAATAATCATGCTACAATTCACAGACTAAAAGAGGCTAAGTATCAAGGAGGGTTCAAGGAGAGACAATTGGCTCTCTCTGGGAAGGTGAAAAATGGTCTTATGGGTTGACTATGGGCAGGTAGGGATGGGAACATGAGAGATCAGGTTTGGGGATATTGTGAAATAATCTTTTTGTACACTGTGAAGATGTGTCTTTGCCAATGAATCTTCTGATTGGTTTACTAAAAAGCTAAGTGGCCATTAGCTAAGTAGGAGGTGTAGATGGGAGAGTCAGACAGAGAGAACTCTGGGAAGTGGTCTGAAATACTGGACAGTATCCTGAGCACAGGAAACCTCAAAGCCTGCCCCCACAGTTACAAACTTCCTCCAACAAGGTCATACCCTCTCCAACAAAACCACACCTCCTAATAGTGACATTGCCCATGAGATTATGGGGGCCAATTACATTCAAACTACCACAGATGCCTAACAATATTCTGCTATAATTGTAGACTTGTTGCTATAAAATATGTTTTAAAATGTGTTACACTTGTTTAAGCTGTGGAACATTTGTTTAATAATGCAAAGATGTGTTGCATTCTCTTATGTTGCATTTGTTTAACTCTACGAAACAATGTTACTGTGCCTGTCTAAAACACCTAATTGGTCTAATAAAAAGCTGAATGGCCAATAGCAAGAAAGAAGAAAGGATAGGCGGGGATGGCAGACAGAGAGAATAAATAGGAGAAGAAAAGGAGCAAGAAGGAGGAGCAGGAGAAGGAGGAGGACTCAAGGGGCCAAGCATACAGTCACACAGCAAGGCATGGAAGAATAGAATAAGAAGGAAAGAAAGGGATACAGAAATGAGAAAGCTAAAAGCCCAGAAGCAAAAGGTAGATGGGCTAATATAAGTTAAGAAAACCTGGCTAGAAACAAGCCAAGCTAAGGCTGGGCATGTATAAGTAAAGTAAAAATAAGCTTCCATGAGTGATTTATCTGGGAGCTGGGTATCTGGCCACCCAAACAGTTAATAGAGTAAAAAACAAATACCAGTTGGTACCTACCCCAATTGTCATCAGAGAGCCTTCATCCAGTAACTGGTGGGGACAGATGCAGAGACCCACAATCAATCTTTAGGCAGAGCTCAGGGTATCCTGCTGAAGAGAGGAAAGAAAGTTTGTATGAGGCAGAGCAGGGCACGGGAGGGGGGGATCACAAAAAACCCCACAGAATCAACTAACCTAGACTCATAGGAGCTCACAGAGTCTGACCTGAAAACCAGGGAACCTGCTTGGGACTGATCTAGGCCCTCTGTATACATGTGACAGTGTGTAGTTTAGTCTTCTTGTGGGATTCCTAAAAGTGAGACTAGGGGCTGTCGCTAATGGGAACCTATTCCTCACACTGGGTTGCCTTGCCCACCCTTAACACAAGGGGAGGTACTTAATCTTACCAAACTTGACATGACATGTTTTGTTGTTATCCTTCGGAAACCTGCCCCTTTCTTAACAGAAATGGAGGTGGAGCGGATGGGGATGAGGGAAGCAGACAGGAAACTGCAATCATGATGGAAAATAAATAAATATTTTTTAAAATGAAAAACTGTTTAAGAAGGAATGACGGCTCCTGACTTTGTCATGGGAACAGCTATTACAAAAGAAAACTGTCGGGACCTGCCAGCATGTTTAAATGTGCCTGAGAAGGGGAGTGTAGGTTGAGGAAAGAAACAGGCTAGAGACAGACATAGAGCCGGGAGGTTACCTAGTAAATACTGAGGTCAGACCCCAGTTTATTGCTCCAATTTCTTATATACCCCAATCAAAGTGGGGGGAACATTTCATTACCATGATACAAAGAACAAGCAAGTGTAATTACCTTCTTAATACCAAAACATCTGGTCACCATGTCCTAAACCAAATATCCTGTTGTCTATGCAAGACATACGATAGACACTCCTTAGGCCAAACATACTGTGATTTAACCTTGAACAAGCAATAACAAGCTTGAACTCTCTGGCCTTAAGTCAAGGTGGAACAGAACCACTTTTCTGGGCCTCTAAAGAAAACAAGCCCCCAAAAGCCAACCCACCGAATGTCCAAGGAATGGGGGCCTCACAGTACCATCCAGAGATTAAGACATCTGCCCTACCCTTCTCTGTAATATACATTTCCAGCTAAGTTTATCTGAGGTTGATTCTGACTGTCAGAGTTACACACAACTTATTAAAAATCATGTGCTATCATATAGTATCAATACCACTTAGTAATGTATTTTCCAGTGTTCTAGACCTTATGACCACCATGTTTTTAAATTTT